TTTATCACAAAATTACATATGGCAGATAAATAATGGATCAATTCAATAGAATTCTCCATTAGATATACACCAATGTTTTCATGCACTCAAGACAATGAAAATTTGCCAAACATTAAAGACATATAACATGCTCTAATATTGGTATAAAAGATAACTAAAATCGTATAACTTGTCATGATATAAATCATAATTATCATGTATTATAACTCATACAAATTCCATGAACCAATTTGAAATGACTGAGATAGTTAATTACCAATTACCCAATCATATCCATAATGCGGAATTCATACAATCACATTAGGCATAAATGATAATACGTTAAGAGCATGAGACGAGAATATATACCAGATCATCACTTTAAATCTCAAACATTGAATCATCACATATAGCAAAATACATAGAATCATATAGCATGATTGAGACGGCAAAATTCATGACAATATTTCATACTTGAACATGCAATACTTTTGCCGAATAATATGATAACATTTCACATGCTCAGAACAATTATTATATGAAAAAAAAACAAGACATTTTAATCACATTATAGAATAAAGATTATTGACTTTTTTCGATTTTGACTTTGACGCCGTTTGGTCAAGAGTCAAAATATTGACGTAAATATTGACTTTTTTCAATTTTGACTCTCGAGTTTAGAAAAGAGAAAGTTTCACACAGTCATATATTTTTTTCTTTGCACTGGGTGGAATCGATCAATTTTTGGGTCTTGATTTTTACTAAGTTAGAGCTTCAATTAGGGGATATCTTGGGAGGGGAAGTGGTGGGAGAAGAAGAAGAAACGACAATATTGATGGAGAAGAAACGACGCGTTATAGGCAGTGGCAATTTTGTAATTTATAGAGTTGACCAAACGACGTCAGAGTCAAAATCGACAAAAGTTGAAGGAGAGGGTTGTATTGGGAAATTGTACAAGTACAAGGGGGTAAATCGATGAAATTGAGAGTACGAGGGGGTAAAGTGATTCTCGGGCAGAGTACGAGGCGTAAAGTGGAATTTACCCATAATTAATTAATTTGTTATAGAGCCACAGTTGTTGCACGTGATCGAGGATGACGAGCTTGCCTCCGAAGAACAACAACAAGAACACGTCGACGACACCGTAACGTTCCCTGGATTAATTAACTTCTTCCAGATCCAAAGCAATGCTTTACGCAGTAATTGCTTCAGGTTCATATTTCATAATTCATTAATTAATCTCGTCTTAATAAATTTAAAAAAAAAATCATATTTTTTCTCATCAAAATAACTTAGTTATTCGATAATAATAACAATAATAATAATGAAGGGAGTACCAAGAACGGATCCGAAGACGCACTCTAGTCGAATTTTTCTACATCCAAAATCACGCTAACCAGACCTATGAATTTGTATGTCACAATTACTTATTATATATTCAACTTTATTATTATATATATTAAATAAATATATTAAGAAAATTATATATATTATTAATAAAGGGGAGGAGGAAGAAAGAAGAATACGGGAATTAATGCTGTGAGAATCTAAATGAATTTGTTGACCAAAATGACCCTGTCTTTGAGCAGCCCCTAATTCAGCATCTTCTTAAAACTGCTGAGGCTTTAAGGAAAGATTTTCCTGATCTAGATTGGCTTCGTCTCACTGCTCTCATTCACGGTAATTAATTAATGGCTGCGGCTATATGCAATACTCATTCCACTTGTGCAAGACCAAATTAAAGAAAGATTCCAAAAGATTCTATTTTAATAAGATGGAATGACAAGTATGCCCATAAATTAAATTGGCTTTTTTTTCTCATGTAAGACCAAATACAAATAATGAGAAAAAAACAAAAATCGACACCAAGGTGTCGAAAAACTATGCTACAAATCGACACTTAAGCGTCGAATTTCATAGGTAAAAATCGACATTGACATGTCGAATTTGTAGCACAAATTCAAATGTCGAATTTTATACCTCAAAATCGACATCTAGATGTCGAATTTTATACCTCAAAATCGACATCTCAATGTCGATTTTTACATGTAAAATTCGACATGTACATGTCGAATTCGTTTGCGCGGGATTTTTTTTGGAAAATCGATATTCTAGCTAAAAAAAACCCATAAATGCATACATTCTTGGGTTCTTCCATCGTAGAATCTTCTATTTTGATGTCTTCTGACTCCATACTTGCCATCTTTGTAAGATTTGTTGAGTTTTGATGATTTTGAATTTCTAGGTTTTGTGGGTTAATGGAGGAGGAAGGAGAAAGGTCTTGTGAGTTTTGGAAGATGGAGAAGATGATAGTTGGTCTTGTGGTTTTGTGGTCTTGTAATAGGATTTTTTGTGTTTTTGAATTTTTGGTCTTGCATACTTGGAATTTTTTATTTTTTTAATAAATAAGGGTATTATAGTATTTATACATTGAAAATTTTAATTTGGTCTTGCACAAGTGGAATTAGTCTTGCATATAGCCGCAGCCTTAATTAATTCACTATAAAGAATATTTTATTTAATGACTACTCTTAATAAATTTGAGGGTAAATTACACACACCCCCTGAGGTAAGCTTAAATAACTGTAAGGTCCATGTGGTATCGATAATTACACTCAGCCCCCTAAAACGTAGTCAGAAACTCTAATGGGATAATGAATTGGATACGTTATTCCGATAGGGTTCTAACGGACTATTGGTTTCAGAAAGTGGTGGAGACAACAAAGAGCTATGGGTGATTTAAGAAATGTTCGTAAAGATTCGGGGAGCCATGATCACCCCATAGCTCTTGGTTGTCTTCACCACTTTCTGAAACCAATAGTCCGTTAGAACCTTATCAGAATAACGTATCCAATTCATTATCCCATTTGAGTTTCTGACTACGTTTCAGGGAGCTAAGTGTAATTATCGATACCACAGGGACCTTACAGTTATTTAAGCTTACCTCAGGGGGGTGTGTGTAATTTACCCTAAATTTAATTATTTCTCATGCATGCAATTAATTTTAGGGGTAATTGCAAATAAGCCCATGAGAAGGGCACTTAATTAAAAGAGGGACATCCAACTTTTTTGTCTTTCAAATAAATCCAGCCCATTCAAACTTATTTGCAAATAAGGAAAATCCTTTTATATATACCAAAATTACTCCCAATTCATTGAAACCCAATTTCATGATTTACACCACAATTTAGCCCAATTAACCAATTTTAACCATAATTTCAATTTTGACCCCAATTTTGCCCCGCCACCACCGGACACCGCGCGGTCGCCACCGTTGACCGCCGGTCTCCGGCGTTGAATTTTTTATTTTTTTTTTATATAATTTGTTTTTTCTTAAAAAAAATATTTTAATTAATATTACCGTCTTGGCTGCTAAATTACTGTCTCTGACAGTTATTTAACTGTCGGAGACAGTAATTTAAATGTTAATTGACTCTTTTTTTTTTTTTTTTCAAAAATATTTTAATTAATATTACCGTATTCGTTGCTAAATTACTGTCTCCAGCAGTTATTTAACTGTCGGAGACAGTAATTTAACTGTTAGTTGACTTTTTTATTCTTGAAAAAAATATTTTTAATTAATATTACTGTATTCGTTGCTAAATTACTGTCTCCGACAGTTATTTAACTGTTGGAGACAGTAATTTAACTGTATGTTGATTTTTTATTTTATTTTATTTTATTTTTTTCTTTAGAAAAAAATATTTTAATTAATATTACTGCCTTGGATGTTAAATTATTGTCTCCAACAGTAATTTAACTGTCTTAGACAATAATATTAATAATATTACTGTTCGGAAAAATAATATTCATAATATTAATGTCCCAAACAATAATATTACTGTCTGAGACAGTAATTTAGTAACCAAGACAGTAATATTAATTAAAATATTTATTTTCTAAGAAAAACATTTCAAAAAAAAAAAGTCAACGCCGGAGACCGGCGGTCAGCGGTGGTTGACCGGCCGGAAAAAAAGTTCAGGAAAAAAAAAAGTTCAAAAAAAAAATTAAAAAAAAAAAGAAGTCAACCGCCGGAATCTGGCCAGAAAAAAAAACATTTAAGAAAAAAAATTATTTTCTGGAAAAAAAAAGTTTTGGGGGTTAATGTGATATATTTATTTAAATTCGGGGTCAATGTGTAATATTAAGGAAGTTAGAGTATAATGTGTGGAATTGATAAGAATTATATTATTGAGGGTATTTTAGACTAAAGACATGGGGATGGGCTTAATTGAGAGACTGTTTTTTTTGTGGACTAAAATGCATTTAAGTCCCATCATGGGTTCGCCGGAACGGCCTTTCCGGAACGGTAAAGGTTGCCCGCCGTTCCGGAATCCCTAAGAAAACCGTTCTCTCCCCCTTGACGCGGCGGACCACCGAGACGGGCGAGACGTAGCCGGGAAACGGCACCGGAACGGCGCCGGAACGGTCAGAACGGTCCGGGAACAGCCTGGCCCTTGACGGAACAAAAAGTAAAAAAAATAAAAATAAAAATAAAATTGAGAACGAGATAATTTGTAGAAGGGTCTAAATTATTTTTTAAATTAAAATAAGAGTTTAAATTAAAAGAAGAGTTTAAATTATTACTATTATTATTTTATGGAGTTAAGACTTAAGAGCTAGTTTTTTGGAATAATGAGACCCACGAATCCCTCTAATTCTCTATTAATAGGAGAAAGTAACAATAAGTAAAACATGACTATAATTTATGTATTTAACCGAAAGGGAAATAGCAATAATACATATTTTTTTTAAGAAAATAATAAATAAAATTGAGCACTAATACATATTTTTTTTTAAATAAAATAATAAATAAAATTAAAGACTGATTCTTAAAAAATGGAAAATAAATATCAAAATAGAAATAATAAATAAATATAGAAAATTCGAATATATATAATATTAAAATTTATTTAACTTTTTTTTGCTTTCAATATTTTGTTACTTAAATATAATCATTTTAATTTGAAATTAATTCATCACATAATATGTTTTACTACAAATAACTGAATAAGGACAATATGGTTCACATTTACCGATTGATTCTCAAACAGAAAATCTTGAAAGCTTTGAACCAGCTCGGCATTCTACGTGGTATTGATATTGCATGTAATTTTATAATGTTAATGCAAGGTTGTTGTAATATTTTATTTTTTATTTTTTTAATAATTTTAGCATATTATTGTACTGTAATGTTGGTATTAAAAATATATTTGAAATAAATTATATTTTAGCATTTTAATTAAAAAAAGTCCGTTCCAGCCGTGACGGAACCGCGACGTTGCAATGGAACTGGAACGGCAACCGACTGTTCTGTGCCGACGAACCATGGACTCCCATGTGATGGGCCTTTTTGTCATTTGTCCTTATAAATATAAACTTATTTTTGCAATGTCTTGCGAACCTAAAAAATATTTCGGGGCACTGCTCCAAACCCCGAAATTTTAATTAGCCCCCTACATTTTAATCCTGGTTCCGCCCCTGATTTTACCCCATTGTTATAAGCTTTTGGGATAATTCTCTTGTGGTCCATAACCCTCTTGTGGTTGATAGGGGTAGTTTCCGTTAGTTTTTTCTTTAAAAATTAATTTTCACGTGTCAAAAGTCAAAATGATATATTTTGCAGATGGGCTTCCTTGTGTTTACATTTTTCCTTTAATTTTTGCAGACGACCCCCTTGAAGTTTGATACACACGATTAAGTTTGACCGAAAAACTAACTGACCACACTACATTTTATCAACTATAAAGGAGTTATATCCTTAATATTACAAGCACAAATGAGTCATCTGCAAAAAGTTGTAACCACATAGGGTTATTGCTATTTACCCTTAAAAAAAACATAATAAAAGAAAAAAAGGAAAAAAAAGTATTTATTGAAAATATATACCAACAACAGCCCGTGGTGGCTCCCCTCCAAAAGTAGGATGCATGCAGCATAACCTTACCCAGACCTGCATTACATAATACATATAACAATATAAAATTAAGGGCAAATGGCAAAAAGGCCCATCACATGGGACTTAAATGTATTTTGGTTCACACGAAAAACAGTCTCTCAATTAAGCCCATCCCCATGTCTTTAGTCTAAAATACCCTCAATAATATAATTCTTATCAATTTCACCCATTATGCTCTAACTTCCTTAATATTACACATTGACCCCGTATTTAAACAAATATATCACATTAACCCCCAAAACATTTTTTTTTCAGAAAATATTTTTTTTCCTAAAATGTTTTTTTTTTCCGGCCAGATTCCGGCGTTGACTTTTGTTTTTTTTTTTTTTTTTTGAATTTTTTTTTTCCTATAATTGTTTTCCGGCCGGTCAACCACCGTTGACCGCCGGTCTCCGGCGTTGACTTTTTTTTTGTTTTTACATTGTTTTTCTTAGAAAAAAATATTTTAATTAATATTACTTTCTTAGCTACTAAATTACTGTCTCAGACAGTAATATTACTGTTTGGGACAGTAATATTATGAATATTATTTTTCCGAACAGTAATACTATTAATATTATTGTCTAAGACAGTTAAATTAATGTTGGAGACAGTAATTTAACATCCAATGCAGTAATATTAATTAAAATATTTTCTTTTAAGGAAAAAAAAAAGGTCAATTAACAGTTAAATTACTGTCTCCGACAGTTAAATAAATGCCGGAGATAGTAATTTAGCAACGAATACAGTAATATTAATTAAAAATATTTTTTTTAAGAATAAAAAAGTCAATTAACAGTTAAATTACTGTCTCCGACAGTTAAATAACTGTTTGAAACAGTAATTTAGCAACGAATACAATAATATTAATTAAAATATTTTTGAAGAAAAAAAAAACAAAAGAGTGTTAAATTACTGTCTCCGACAGTTAAATAACTGCCGGAGACAGTAATTTAGCAGCCAAGACAGTAATATTAATTAAAATATATTTTTAAGAAAAAACAAAATTATAAAAAAAATTAAAAAAAAAAAAAAAAAAAAAAGTCAACGCCGGTCAACGGCGGCGACCGGCGGTCTCCGGTGGTGGTGGGTCAAAATTGGGGTCAAAATTGAAATTAGGGTTAAAATTGGTTAATTGATGAAATTGGGCTAAATTGGGGTGTAAATCATGAAATTGGAGTTAAATTGGGTTTCAATGAATTGGGGGTAATTTTGGTATATATAAAAAGATTTTCCCTATTTGCAAATAAGTTTGAATTGGCTGGATTTATTTGAAAGACAAAAAAGTTGGATGTCCCTCTTTTAATTAAGTGCCCTTGTCATGGGCCTATTTGTCATTACCCCTATATAATTTATATAAAATTATGGAGAAGAAACAAAAAAGTTGAGAATTAAGACATATATTTACAAAAACTTTGGGGGGCAAAAGTAATATTCACAAAAATATAATACCCAAATACCTAAAAAATTGATAAATTACACCCACACCCCTGTGGTATGCTTAAATAATTTTAAGGTCCGTATGGTATTGATAGTTACACTCACCCCTGAAACGTAGTTATTAACTCTAACGGGATAATGCATTGGACACATTATTTCGGTAGGGTTTTAATGGACTATTACTTTTAGCTAGTGGTGAAGATAACATAGAGTTATGGTGAGTTACGGGGTGACATGGCTCGCCCAATATGTCTTAAATCACCTATAACTCTTTGTTGTCTCCACCATTTTCTGAAACCAATAGACCACTAGAACTCTATCGTAATAACGTATCCAATGAATTATCTCATTGGAGTTTTTAACTACGTTTCAAGGGGTGAGTGTAATTATCGATACCACATAGTTCTTAAAATTATTTAAGCATACCTCAGGGGTGTGGGTGTAATTTACCCGATTTTTATTTTTTTATATCTTGGGGGTTCAACTGCCCCCCTGCCCCTTCTATGTTCCGCGGGTAAAATGGTATATAGCCTTTTATTAATTTATTATAGATTTGTTGTGTAAAATAAATTTGCTTTTCAGGTGATACTTTTCCGGTAGGATGTGCTTTTAGTGAGTCTATTGTTTATCCCAAGGTGTTATATAACTAATATTATTGAATAGATTAATTATATTTATTTTTGTAATATAATAAATAATATTTAAAAAAAAATCCCATGATTCAGTATTTTGCAGCAAATCCAGATGTTAAAAATGACAATTTCAGCACAAAATTGGGTCTGTACACAGAGAACTGTGGGCTTGACAATGTGACCATGTCATGGGGGCATGACGAGTACATGTACTTGGTAAAAGTTAATTAGAGCCTTAATTATTTAAATTAAATTAAATTAATCTAATTACTTAGTGATTGGTGTGAATTTTTGATTAATAAATTGATTAATTATATATAGGTGGCGAAGGGAAATAACACCACTCTCCCACCATCTGCACTCTTCATCATCAGATTCCACTCCTTCTACGGTAATTAATTAATTATTATAATTATTGAGATCTAATTAAACTAAATTAAATTATCATCGTTGTTAGTTAATAATATGTTGAATTGATATATGTATAGCTCTGCATTATGCTGGAAAGTATGACTACCTCATGAATGATGAAGACAAAGAAATGCTGAAATGGCTGCGTGTCTTCAAGTAAAATTATTTTATTTTATTAAATACCACTAATTGCAATTAAATAAATTATACACACATATATTTGATGTGCCCTTATATATATTTATATATATATGTATATACTGTTGTGGGACACCAAATATGGTCTTTGCAGCAAAAATAATGTGACAATCAACCAGGAAGAGGTGAAGCCTTACTATCTCTCTCTCATTCATACGGTAAAAAAAAATACTTGTATTTTCTTTTTCTTTTTTCTGACTAAACTTGCCATTATATCATTATATATATATATAATAATTTTGAGTTGTTTCAGTTGTGGTGATCGATCAATAAATTGTACTGAACATCATCGAACTGTATAAATAAGGTTAATTATCTATGGTTCGCGTTAATATGAATTTTAAGTTATCTATGGTGCACGTACAACAACTTTCAAAAATTGCTCTTGTTTGGATAACTACATTTTACACCTCCACCCTTATAAATTCAAATTCAACATAATCTTCCAGATTCCATGGAATGTGCTCTAATTTGTACTCGTTTTGTGTTAAAATACAGTATTTAATACACCACAATCTGATATATATACAAGCCAAAAAACACATCTTATGAACATCTTGCTTCAAAATGTAGAGCTCGAATAGGATAAAATAGGTCCAAAAGTGAAATATTCCATATAATTTAGTAGATTCCACTAAATTTGAAACCGCGAAGGTGGACGTGTAGGAAGATTTATAGTTGATGGGTGGTTGCAATTAATAATTACCCAAATATAAGTGGGGGTTTCGTAATTTAACCATACATCAGGGGTGGTTGTAATGTACCCTAAAATAAAATAACACGAAGCTTAGCTCTGATACTTGTTGAAGTCGAATACCACCAATTACAAAAAAAAATCATGTCATCGATACTTCTCTGGTGGCAGTGGCACTACCAAGATTAACAGAAATACCCTTGAGAAAATTGTACAAAATTACGCCACCTAAAGCAATCGAAATAGGAGTCGCGGCAAACAATACACTAGTAATCTTTTTCCGAGGCTTTTTACTTTCGGGTCTAGAGCTCGATTCGGATGTAGTAGTAGTGAGCCTCGGAAATGGATTGCTCAGAAACGAGGAATATGAGTCGATTTCTTCTTTAGTAAGTGCCGGCTTCAGTGATTTCATTACAGCCTGGAAATGTCTATTACACACAAACGATGCAGACATGTCTTCTCTCAAAGCAGCTATTCCTGCTTCTTTGCATAGCCCCTCCAGCTCAGCTCCCGTGAAGAGTTCTGTATCTATTGCTAATTGTTTCAGATTTATATTTTTTTCCACCTTCATTTTCCGTGTGTGAACATCAAGGATTTCGTATCTGGCTTCTAAATCTGGTGGTGGTACGTAAAGCACCTAATTAAATTCAAGAAAAAAACAACGTTAAACCGAAAAGATATTAGCGAAGTCAGAAGCACCTAATGTAAGTTGAAAGATTCTATTTAATTAGTACAAATAAAAGTAATAGAAACTAAATCTTTTTTTATTAGGCAAAATTACAACCACCCCTGAGGTATGATAAAATTACGAAAACCCCCCTCTTGTTTGGGTAATTACAACAACCCCTCAACTATAAATTTTCTTAGACGTCTACCCTTGCGGTTTCAAATTTAGTGGAATCTTCTTGATTATATGGAATATTATCACTTTTGTACCTGTTTTATCCCATTCGAGCTCCACGTTTTGAAGCAAGATGATTATAAGATGTGTTTTTTGGCTTGTATATATCAGATTTTGGTGCATCACAAACTGTATTTTTACACAAAACGAGTACAAACTAGAGCACATTCTACGGAATCTAGATGAATATGTTGAATTTGAAACCATAAGGGTGGAGGTGTAAGAAGATTCATAGTTGAGGGGTAGATGTAATTATCCAAACAAGAGGGGTTTTTTCGTAACGTGACCATAATACCTCAGGGGTGGTTGTAATTTACCCTTTTTTATTTAGTTTGAGAGCTTCGTCGACAAATATTTACAATTGTGGACCACGGAAAACTCACCATATCGAAGCGTCCAGGACGCATAAGCGCATCATCAATCGCGCAAGGACGATTTGTGGCAGCCAAAACAAGAATTCCCTGCAAAAACAGACCGGCGTTACGAGAATATAATAAAAAATCTGATTCCAAAATTCACGATATTCATATTAATCATAATTATTATTATTAAATCTCTCACTTTAGCCTGCTCTAAGCCATCCATTTCAGTCAGCAACGTAGAAAGAAGCCTTTCCCCAACTGTTGTGCTTCCGTTTGCGCTTCCTCCTCTGCCATAACAATAAATCAAAGGTGTGAAATTCGAGAAATAATGAAAAACGAGAAATTAATCAAAGGACGGAAATTTAAACAATCAACCTTTTGGCAGCAACGACATCAGCCTCGTCAAAGAATATTATGCTTGGAGCAGCAAGACGAGCTTTTCGAAATGTATTACGCAATAAAGCTTCACCCTCACCTACGTACATGGAGTATAATTCTGCACCACTGGCACATGATATATATAAATAAGCTACACTCAAGATTTACGAAAGCAATATTACAATTACTACAACTGTCGAACTTTTTACAATTTCGTTTGTAACTTGTAAGACTTGGTAACCCTGTCGAAATTCCTAAATTACCACAATAATACTTTCAGAAAGGGATTTAAATACAAATTTCACTGCCCTTTTTGTCATTTTATATAAAAAAAATTAAGATATAAATATTTTCATATTAACATTAGAAAACAAAAAAAATTGAAGAAGCATAAAGATATTTGTAAATCATTACCAAGTACCGGAAAAATGAGGACATGGTTGATCGGTTGTTAAATTTAGCATTTTGTAAACAGCTCCTGCCTTTGAAAAATAAATGCAATTTTGTTTTCAACTAATAACACTCCGATTATCTTTTAATCTCTTTTACTAAATTTCATCTCAACACCAATTATTCTAAAAAAAATATATTAATTATTTTTCGTTAATTATCAGATGAAATAACAAGTTTCAAATGTTCTTCAAATTTCACACAACTCTTCAAGCTTTAATCATTGACAAATTTCCACTTCTTCCAATTCCAACACCAGAAAATAATTATTTCTCTTTCAAATTTTATATTCTAAAAATTAATTATTTTTCGTTAATTATCAGATAAAATATCAAGTTTCAAATATTCTTCAAATTTAATCATCGAAAACTTTCTTTTTCTTCTAAAAGTATAACGGCAATAACACTAGTGAAAAGTGATTTAGAGAAGACCATAAATACCTCAAAGAGAAAAAAGAAGCTTGTGCAGCACAAGCAGCAGCTTTCGCAAGTGTCGTTTTCGAACAACCAGGTGGCCCATGAAGAAGAATACCACGTATGGGCGTTACTCCTAATCTCGAAAACGTCGAAGAATGTTTTAAAGGCCACTCGACTGCTTGCTTAAGCTTTTTCTGCTCCATATATAAAAAAATATTATCATCATATTTTAGCCAAAAACGCTCGCACGGTAAATAAGTTATTACAACATAAGTTTGCATTCGCACCTTCACTTCTTTCAATCCTCCGATATCTTCCCAAGAGACCTTAGGAATGTCCATAGTAACTCCTCTTGTTATACTGGGACCCACCACAGATCTTGCGAGTGTCCAGTCATCCATTTTTACAACGCATTTATTAATATCTTGATGTGCGTTACATCTTTTCATTGCTGACGTGGCAGCCTCACGGCATAAAGCTTCTAAATCTGCACCCACGTAACCATTGCAAGATGCAACTATACTTTGCAGGTCGACGTTTGGATCCAACGGAAGCTTCTTTGTGTAAAGCTGACATAATGACAAATAAACAACAATTATATGCTATTAATTTATTTGAACTAGAATAGTTGGCTGAATACATAAACTAAAGGGTTTAAATCCACTGTCAAATAAACTAATAAATATAAATATATATATTTATATATATATATATGATATTTATCTTTTTTTCTTACTCATTCACAAAATTAGATTTAATTAACTCTTATTATTTTAAGGAAATACATTCTCCTAAAATAATCTTTTATTTATTCCTTGTTCAAGTACAAATTCTACTTGCAATTTACTGTATAGATATTAAATTAAATAAAAGTTGTACATTTGAAAAATAATAAAGCTGTTCTATTAATTTATAATTCTAATTTATTTTAATATAAAATTCAATAAAGTCAATTATAAAATATAATTTATAGTTTAACAGAGAAACAAAAAAAAAATGTCATAGTTCAGATAGCAGTGTCATTAAAACTAAAAATGCCAATAGGGCTAAAATTTGGTACCTTGAGTATTTGAAAGCGTTCGTGTTCATTGGGCGTCGACACTTCAACCTCGCTATCAAAACGCCCTGAACGTCTTAATGCTGGATCAATTGCATCCACTCTACATACGATTAACCGATTAAAAAAAATTAAAAATATTTAATAAAAGACACACAAGGGAAAGAAACCAGAACAATATCATGTTCCCCACAAACCGCAGAGAATCTTAACCACGAGTCTGTAAAAAATTCCGACAACAGAAATAGTCAACGGCTTAATCTTGCAACAAATAATCAGCACGTCCATGTAATGCATTCGTTAAACCGGAAAAGAAAAAAAAAAAAAAAAAAAAAAAAAAAAAAGAAATAGAGAAAGATTGTGATATATCAACTACCTATTAGTTGATGCAACCACCACGACATGTGATCCAAGTGCAGACGAGTATTTGCTCGAGTCCATCAGCAAGAAGAGCTGAGAAGCTACACGAACTTCTTGTTCCCTCCTGCAAATTGAAGATACGGTATTTCAATAATTCTTTAATATATTTTATACTGGTAAAAAAAAATTAATAAACTAAACAACATTTTGCAATGGTGAAAAAAACTGTCTGATCAGGACGTACCTCGAGTCTCGACGAGGACAGAGAGCGTCAATTTCATCGATAAAGATAACTGAAGGTTTGCCCAATCTTGCGTGATTTGCTGCTTCAGCAAAAGCCTCGCGCAAAATTTTCTCGCTTTCTCCTGCATGCGATTTGTGAACAGAATGAGGACTGCACCACAAATCCCGACAATGAATAAGCAAATCGAAAAACTATAAATGACTTGGGAAACAAGTAACTATTTATCTACAAAATTATGTGGTAGACGGCAGTGCAACAAAACCACATTTAAATATCTTAAGTAATAAAAAACAATTGACCAATACATCTCTAAAACTAACATTACCTAATAACACTCAAATGCGCATCACATTCGCGAACAACTGCCCGAACCAAGCTTGTCTACAGAGCACGAAAAAATTATAAATTACGGAAACGTTGTAAATATTTGCATATATATATATATATATATATATATATATATATATATATATATATATATATATATATATATATGGGTAAATTACAACCACCCTTGAGGTATGGTAAAATTACGAAACCCCCCCTCCAGTTTGGGTAATTACAACCACCCCTCAACTATAAATCTTCTTACACGTCCACCCTTACGGTTTCAAATTTAGTGAATCTTCGAAATTATATGGAATATTATCCTTTTGTACCCGTTTTATCCCATTCGAACTCCACATTTTGAAGTAATATGTGTTTTTGGCTTGTATATATCAGATTGTGGTGCATCACAAACTGTATTTTTACACAAAACGAGTACAAACTAGAGCACATTCCACGATATCTAGATGATTATGTTGAATTTGACACCATAAGGGTAAGGGTGGAGGTGTAAGAAAAAAATCATAGTTGAGGCGGTAGATGTAATTATCCAAACAAGAGGGGTTTTTTCATAAATTGACCATAATGGATAAGAAATTACAAACGAGAAGAATGCAAGAAACTCAACATACCTTCCCGGTTCCCGGTGGACCGTAGAGAAGCAAACCACGAGGCCACTAAAGAGTAACAAAATTAGCAAAAGAAAACAAAATAAATAACAATAATAATAAATTTACAGACCTTCCTCGATAATATATATAAAAAAAAAATGGAAAATCACGGAGTGGTGAGGGTAAAAGTAGTTACTTTGAGGCCGAGTATTTTGGACTCGCGGGCGTAGAGTATAGGGTAAGATATGAGCTCCCTAAGAGCTTGTAAAGCTTCAGAGTTGCCTGCAATGGCTTCCTCTGCTCTCCATGCAATGCCGATACTGCTATTATTACTATTGCTCGAAAGAGCCATCGATTCGATAAACCTGGAGCTGTTTAAAATTGATGAACACTATACATTGATTTCGATAAACGGAAATACTTTTTTTTTAATTGAAGTGCAATTATTTAGAGTCTTTTGGAAAAACAAATTGTTTTACACAACTGGTATACTGCATATGAAGGATAACATAAATATGATTACAATTCTGGTATTAGTAATTAGTAATCAATAAATTAAGTGAGCAATTAAAATGTTCATAAAAAATATAAAATCAGTAATAAAAAAAAAATTAATTTAAAAGAGGCTTGGGGAGGAGTTAAACAAACCTAATAAAGGACGGCGGCGGCGCGGTGGTTCAACCAGGTGCTAACTTAACATGCGGCGGACAACAATTACGAAAATGGAAACACAGAATTTTTTTTTTTTGTTGCCAACGTTGCCGAGAATTTGGAAAGAAGCTAACTAATTACCGGCTATTAAACACGGAGTGGCTGAGAATTGAGATAGAAAATGACACGTCCCACGTTAGCAGAGACGGCGGCGACGGCGGGGCGGCGGCGGTGGAGGCAACGGGGGTGGGAGAGAAGAAGCTGAAGAGAGGAATTGGGACCTGAAGTGGACGTGGGCTGAAGATTTGGGACCTGAAGTGGACTTCTGTCTTGAAGCTGGGCCGACATTTATTGATGAGTTGGGCCCCAAGTGCAATTAGAGGTTGGAAGAAATTACTTTAATATTTTAATTTTTAATAGTTATTTTCAGATTTTAATAGGGCAATAACTAATGCCAAATGACAAAAAGAGACATGACAAGCGATTTAAATGCACATTGATGCACAAAAGAACAATCTTTCAAATAAACTCATTCCCATCTCTTTAGTCTATACCCTCCATAATATATTTTTTATCAATTTCATCCATTATACTCTAACTTCCTAAATATTACATATTGACCTCGAATTTAAACGAATATATCACATTAAACCCCATTTTAATAATTTTTAAAAAAAATATTTTTTTTTTCTGAATTTTTTTTTCCGACCAGATTCAGGCATTGACTTTCTTTTTTACTTTTTTTTTGAATTTTTTTCCGGCCGGTCTCTGGCCTTGACTTTTTTATTTATTTACTTTTTTTTTTTTTTGTTTTCTTACAAAAAATATTCTAATTAATATTACTGTCTTGACTGCTAAATTACTGTCTCATACAGTAATATTACTGTTTGGGACATCAATATTATGAATATTATTTTTCCGAACAGTAATATTATCGTCTTGGCCTGCATTTTTGCTGTCTTCGACTGTAATATTATTGTCTCCGACCGTAGTATTGCTGTCTCAGACATTTAAATTACTATTGGAGACAGTAATTTAGCAGCCAAGACAGTAATATTAATTAAAATATTTTTTTAAATAAAACACAAAATCTCAAAAACAAAAAAAATGAAAAAGTCAATTAACAGTTAAATTACTGTCTCCGACAGTTAAATAGCTGCAGGAGACAGTAATTTAACAACCAAGACAGCAATATTAATTAAAATATTTTTTTAAGAAAAAAAAGTCAATTAAAAGTTAAATTACTGTCTCAGATAGTTAAATAACTGCTGGAGACAGTAATTTAGCAGCCTAGACAGTAATATTAATTAAAATATTTTTTTAAGGAAAAAAAAAGTTAATTAACAGTTAAATAACTGCTGGAGACAGTAACTTAGTAGTCATTACAGTAATATTAATAAAATATTTTTCTTAAGAAAAAACAAAATTAAAAAATTAAAAAATAAAAAAAGAAAAAAATAAAAGAAGTCAACGTCGGAGACTCGGCGGTCAACGACGGTTAACCTATCGGAAAAAAATTTCAGAAAAAAAAAAAAGTTTTCAAAAAAAAAAAAAGTCATCGCCGGAGACCGGCGGTCAACGGCGGCTAACCGGCGTCTCTGGTGGTGGCAAGTCAAAATTGAAATTATGGTCAAAATTGGTTAATTGGTGAAATTGGGCTAAATTAGGGTGTAAATCATAAAATTGGAGTTGAATTGGGTTTCAAGGAATTTGGGGTAATTTTGGTATATATAAAAGGGTTTTCCTTATTTGTAAATAAGTTTGAATGAGCTGAAAATATTTGAAAGATAAAAAAGTTAGATGTCCATTTTTTAATTAAGTGTCCTTGTCATGGGCCTTTTTGATATAAACCCAATAATTAAAGCATGATGCGGGCACGATTGCCCGATGAAGCCCATTCAGAAGAAGGTTCGATTTACTTAAGGCCCAAACGTCCATTCCACTGCCAGTAGCTCCATCATCCTTCCCTACAAGAGATGAACGGTTGACAAATGGGACTAGCTTTGCGACTGAAGTGACAACAAATACGAAAAGGTTTACAGTGACAAAGACCGAAGAACCATCCACGTGGGGGCAAATAGTGAGATAGGGCTTGTAGCTAGCCCTTTCGCCTTTATGAACGAGCTCTCTATTCAAGAGCGAACTCCCATTCCACATAGCCAAGAGAGCTCGTTTCCTAGAGTGGGAGCTCGCTGATGACAGGTCAGAAAACCCGGAAGGTTACATCACCCCATGAGGGGGCATGGCCATAAAGTGACTGCGGAACCTAACGCCATACCTAAATGGGCATGTATAAATAGCAGTCTTGATGCAGAACAATGGGGTTTTTTTTGCCATTATCATACATTCTCGTCATCTCTTCGAATAGCCAACTAACTTGATCGTCGAAGTGTTAACATCGGGAGACTCCTCCTGGTACTCCTATTTTGCAGGTCATTTGGGCTTGGCTTTGGTTTTCTTCCTCTGGCCTTCCTTAAGCAATTCCCCAACCCATTGCATATTCTTCTTTCTTTGTTCCGCCCATTTAGCTCATATCAATTGGTGTCGTCTATGGGAGTGTTAACACTGGGAGATTCCTTCGATTCTCCTTTTTTGCAAGTATTTTGGCCTTGGCTTTGGTTTTCTTCATTGGGTCTTCCTTAAGCAATTCCCCAACCCATTGCATATTCTTATTTCTTTGTTCCGGCCATTTAGGTCAAATCAACTAGCACCGTCTGTGGAAAACTTACCTTGAGCTATAGACGTTGGGGAATTAGCATGTGGGATTTTTTCAAGTTTAAGTCCAGAAGATTAAAGTTTTGGCTGCAACTCCAAAACGGAAACAAGCACCAAGAAACAACCACTATCCCAAAACTCTAGATCTACCCACAACTCATATTGAGTTGACTCACCAACACAAGCACAGGCAACTCAATCACAACTCACCATCTCCACTCAGCACAAACCCTAGTTTTCCTCAGTCAGAGATCTCAATCACTCACAGAAGAATATTGGAGGTGAAAACACTCAGTTTGAATTGAAGGTAAAAGTCTTCCTTATCTCTCTCTGACCACAGTATTTAGACACAGAGATTCAACGGTCCACAACATTAAAAATGTGTTGCGGCAGCAAGGACATCCATTGTCAGGCAAGACCTGCGACGGTGACGTTGGAAAACAACAACGGGTGACGAAGTACTGTAGAGAGAGAGAGGGGGACAAGAAGAGAGAGAAACAGCGCAACTAAGAATGAGCTGCTAGGATTTAAGAGTGAGGTAAATAAAGAGTCAGTGGACGTCACTACAAGAAAAACGTGTTTTCACACGCAGATAAGCGCGGTCAATCTACATGTTGTTAAATCATTGCTATGTTTCACCACGCTCACCGAACGTTGTTGATTGAATAAATGACAGTTGTATAAAGCCGATAACAACACGTTACGTGTATTGTTATATGCAATTAACAACAGGCACTTACGTCTCGTAAATAGTGTGATGACAACGGTTCCACGCCTGTTGTAATATATTAACAACATTTGTTCACGACTTGTTTAAACACATACCACAAGCCATTCCGCGTGTAGTCATAGAGGAAATAACAACACTTGACCCGTGTTGTCGGTAGAGGAGTAACAATACTCTCTGACTGTTGTGGTTAGCATTTTAACTATATTTATTGCGCATTGTTGTTAGTATATTAACAATATGCTTCTCGCATTGTTGTTACTGTATTAACAATATGTTGCTCGTGTTGTTTTTATTAATGAATTAACATATGTTGTGCGTCTTGTTGTTAATGCAGTAACAATACGCGACTCTTGTTGTTGTTAATACACTATGCACCTTATTGTTTATATCTATCTTTACACGTTTGTTTTATAACTTTAACTATGTTTAATGTTGGTAGATACAACGTAATAGTTTATTTATGTTTTTACCTGCTTGAACATGTACAATATATTTATCACATTTCACTATTCCATTAACTAACAAAAACTAACTGTAAAATAAAATTAGGAATTCAAGATCGAATAATCAAAATCACAAAACCATCCATAATATTCTAATCAATTCGTCCATCTACTCGAAACATTGTACGAATGCTAAGACTAAAAACATTAAGGGCAACTCCAACCGGGGCCCTAAATGAGGCCCTAAAGCAATAACTGTCATTTTGATGGCTAAAGTCTGATTTTTTTTTGTTCCAACCGAGCCATCAAAACATGCCCCATTTTAGGACATCCCCCTCCCTCCCATAGAAAATGGGGTCTGAAAATTGGGTAATAAAAAATTGGAGAGAAGCTCCCAACAAACTTATTTCCTCCCAACGGATACATTTTCACCCAACGACTCTTTTATTCAGCAGATTCAAGTATTCAACCATAATTAAAAAAAAAAAAAAAACTTCCTATAAAGAAGACCATTTCGCTTTGAAAAAATTATATAATTTCAAAACTCAAAATTTAAAGAAAAACAACGAAAAAAAAGGTAACCTTTATGGCTTTCTAAGTTTCTGATTTTCCTTGTGAATCGGAGCACGGAAAAAATAGTGAAAGAAAGATGAGAGAAAATGGGTTAGAAAAAAGAGAGACGAAGATTGGGGGAGAATGAATGAGAGAGAAAGGAAAAAAAAAACGAACAGAGGGAGAGAACAAGAGAGAGGAGAGGAGAGAATTAGAAGAGAGAGAGAGAGAGAGAGAGAGAGAGAGAGAGAGAGAGAGAGAGAGAGGAGAAAAGAGGGGTGTGGCGGCTCATAGTGGTGGGGGTGGGGGATTAGGGTATTCATATTAAGTTTATTAGAGTTATTTATTTAAGTGTTTATTTTTGGACATTAGTACAATAGTTTTTGTACATTATGTTTTATTTGTATGCTAATTATTTTTAGGTTAATTATTTTTATGTGTTGCTAATTCATAAACTGAAAACATTATAAATAGAATAAATTGAAACACTACAAATAGAGAGATATTGCCACAAATTGAAATATTACAAATACAACTATCAATCTTCTTGACCGTGCAAATTCCAAAGATGCTCAATAAGATAAGAGGTGTGACGTGACACAAATTAATCTTTTCGTATTATTAAATTTATTTTATTTTTATTTCGTTTAAATTTAAATATATTTATTGATTTATTTATTTCTAACAAAATATAGTTAGTTTTCATTTAAATTTTATTTAAATAAATTAAATTAAATTAAATTAAAAAATGAGACCCCAATTTAATGTTTGCCATTGGAGCGAAAACCTTTTTGTGAAGCCCCAAAACACTGTAGCAAACCCCAAATGAGTGTTT